ATCCTACGTTACATCATATTCAACCATGTGCAAGGTTAACTATTACATTTTACATCAGCATATACCAATGGTAGTTGTGAAAATCTGTCAAAAATTAACATTGATTTTTACAAAAATTTCTTTTAAAACAGCTGTGATACAGTATACCTTAAACTTTTGACCACATAACGGGTTCTAATTACAAAGCGTGCTCTGAATACCTAAGTATAAATTCTTAAATCTAAGAAAGATATCATCAGACACCTCCAAATTATACTAAAGTAAATTTAAAGCCATGAAAAAAATTTGAACAGCAAATTTTCAAAAAAATGCAAGTTTTATCCTGAAGCCCTGAATCTTTTTAACTACGGCCTAGATTTACATTTATTCATGAACATTTTTACCAAAATAATTCCCATTGAGGACTACATGGCTTACTACTTCAAGTGTTTCCCTAATTTATTGGCGTAAATATTTTCCTAATGAAAACAACAAATTCCATGTCACACACATTAAAAGTCACAGCAATGGAAACTTTAGTTAAAGTAAACTCTGTTTCGCTATTTCCTTGTTTAGATTACATGGACAATTTGTCTCTGTTGTCGTTCTCTAAAACAAACTGACGAGTGTTTGATAAAATGGACTAAAATTGATCAAACTCGTTTGATTGAAAGCAGGCCGTTGTAGCCAGCTCTTTGACTTGTTGTAGGCCTTTTTGGTGAGAAATTTCAATTTTTGTTTCAACATTTGCAAGAGTCATATTAGAAAAGTCAAGCGGGCGGAAAACAATTGTAGGCCGGGCCCACGGGACTAGAGGCTGGCCACACCCCTGAGAGTGGGTCTAATGTCTCTAACATATGGTCAGTAAATTCAGCAACATCATCTCTGATGATTACTTCTTCAAATTAAGCTTAGAATGGCAATCTTGGCACTGATGGAATTAGATTGCATTAAAATGGATTGAAATAAAATCGAAAATGATAATCAATGTTTTTGTAAAGATAATTGCAAATTGCAACAAAGTAATTTATGACGTAGAAAACCATTAAGATCAATTCACATATGGCTGCGAAGTTTGGAAATCACATTTTTTGAAATTAACATTTCGCCACCTTTTGCAAATGACAAACTGTTTCTTTGCTTATCAAAAGCTTGGAGTATCAACGTAATTAAAACCCAGTGGACAAGCTCCTGGTTGTGTACAAGAAAAAACCTTTAAATTATTTGACACATAACTGATTGTAATAAAGGAATAGATCTGAGTGTCATTTTGGCGAAACGAAAACCTCGTAGTCGCCTTCAAAAACTTCAGGCATTAACAGCAGAAGCCTTGTTGCATCTTGTTCTCTTCGAAAGCATCTAAATTTGTAAAGGTAAAAAATAGCAATTCCACTGAACAAAATATACTGAAATAGTCTGTTTTATTTCTTCATCAAAGTAAAGTCACACATCTCAAGTTCCGTTTAACAAAAAAGTGAAAAGTAATGAAAAATAGCCAAAAAGCGCCAAAATAGAGAAGCATTTAAACCTTCCAAGTTCCTGCGTCATTCATTTTGAGATGGAATAAAAAAGTTTTCATTTATGTGATTTCATATTCAAATTTTCTCTTTCCTTTGCCATAAAGTCAAGAGTGACGTCATCTCCAATCAGCAAAAAGGGCGCCCAGTGTTTGATGTCGCAGAACTTGTCTGATTCTCTGAGGCTTTTCATGGCCAGGTTCAGTGACTCGCTTGCTGGTTTACCTCCTGCAAGTTGTTGATAAAAGTGTTTCATGAACTCAAGAGTAGCCTCGTCATCAATCGCCCACAGGGACGCCACAATAGACCGAGCACCAGCCCCCATAAAAGCGCGCGCAATGCCAACCACACCTTCAGCCTTGATCTCGCCCCGTCCGCTGTGGCAGCAACTAAGCACAACAAGTTTGGCCCGAGGTTGAGCATTCAACACATCTCCAATTGTTAAAATGTAATCCTCCTCCGTTGGCACAGTAGATATTCGGTGTGGGTCAGGTGTAAGAGCAATTTCGCCAGTTTCCATACATCCGTGTGCCGCAAAGTGAACTAGGGAGACGGAACTGAGTCTTTCCAACACCTCACGTTTCGTGGCCTGACTGCCAGTGATTGGCGTGATATTCAGAATTTTTCCGATCATTTCTACTTCTTTTTTAGCATACTTAAGCTGCTCGAAGACTTTCTTTCCCTCGCTGTTAATAACCTCGGATACCCACGGATCTCCTACAAGTAACGCACCACTGCTTTTGTGAT